AATTTACTAATTTAACTATTTCATTTAGTGGAATTTGACTAATTATTAGTGAGTGCTTTTTCGCTATGACAATTAGTCAAATATGACTTATAATTAGTTATTTTTGACTAATTCATTTTAAGAGAGTAAGGTTTATTGTTATTATTATTATTGCTATTATTATTATTATTATTAAATTTGATATTACCATTAGGTCATATTATGGTAAGGTATCGTTTTAGTCTTTTGATAGATTCTGGATAGAGACTTTGATTTAAACTGCTTATCTTAGCGCTTTATTTGGAATATTTGATAATGACTATATATGATAAAAATCTCTTTATATTATTATCCAGCGCGACACTTTCTGGTGGTTATAGTTTTGGCCATGTTTAGGAGTTTCTTGTTATGACTCTCTCCTATTTATTATTTTATTGTATTTTATTTATATTTTATACCATTTTAGTTTATTGCATATTGTTTATTTTATTTGTGTCTGTATTTGTACTTGTGTTTTCGTTTGGAGAGTGCTCATACATTGTCTTGTTCTGGACATTGATTTTGTAAGAATATTTGAACATATTGTGATATAGCTACACTTTAGTGAGATAGGACCACCATAGCTGTCGTTATATCACTTCGCAGAGTATGCAATTGTTCCATAGTGTGGTTATTGGCTACGGTTAAATATCTACACTAGATTTTTCCATGTTCCCCCCCTTTTAAAAGCATATGAATTCTTTCTATCAGAAATATGTCGTTGCTGTAGTTTATTTTTATAAAATCGTATCCTCGTTCAATAGTTCGAAGATGCGTGGTAAGGTAAACAAATATTACAACACTTCCTCAGAAAATGACGATCTCTATTATAACTATTTTACCTGAGTACAAAATGTTTTGAATATTGATAAAAACAACCAAATTATATGAAATATGTTTTTTTTCAAGCGGCCATGATATGATACTTTGTATGCATGTATAGAGATAGTTGAAGTGCGTCTTTTTCATTAGCGGCAGACAAAAAAAGCAAAAAAGCTTAGGGATAGAAGTAAATCCATAGGCGACTCAATAGACGTCAAATAATAAAATTAATTTAGCATTTCATACAAAGCAATCACGATGTATTAATTATATTAATTATAATCGCACGGAATATTTAGTGATTATTTATTAAATTTTAATTGAACGAAATAAAGAACAACTAGTTTATTAGTATAATATAATGATGATAGACGAGTCGCCAATGTCGGAACTCCAAACAAATGTCAGTACGTCAAAATTAATTCAAGCGCAGCATTTTGACAGAGCAGGGTTAATTTTTAGTTTAGGCTTTGTTATGTATGGTTTAGGATATTTATCGGCATTGTAAGTAAGGGTTATACGTTTTTTTAGTTTTTATCAATAGATTGTAATGCTTTTAGCCAAAATTTTATACCACATGAGTTATAAGTAAATAAAATAATTCTATTGCTTATCCTATTTATATTACGCCCTTGAAAAAAAAATTGTATATGTTATTTGGAGTAGAAGCTCTTTTTTGTGCTTCGTACAGTTGCCTGCCTCAGCTACGCTTCGGCCGTCAATCTCTGTACTCACCACAAAAAGAGCCACTTCTACTCCTTATGACATAATCTACTATTATCTGCTTTTTATGTTATTTTATTCACTTATTATTTATACTGTATTCTTGTGATTATGATCCATATAACTATGTTTTGTTTTGTATTTTATTTTTATTTGAACTGTGTAAGTCGCCAGGGTTTTTATGGTCCCTTTTCCCTGTGCTTTGACTCAACGGGCCACCCCTTTGTCGTTGCTTAAATTAAATCAGGGGTTCCAAATTAAATACTTGTGTTTCATTAAACCTGACCAATTTCAAAATATCGTTATTATCAATGTAAGTATATACACAACGTAAAGTCCTAATTTTTATAAAGTAAGTTAATTATCTAGACGATCACGAATATGCCAAAACAAGTATTTCAGTATACTTAAGGAATCGGGTTACGAAAAACACATAGTGTACCTTACACTGTTAAGAATATAATTTATTATTATATTATATTATATTATTATATTATTGATAATTAAAACTTAATTTAGAACAATATTCGGTTTTGCCACTCTACAGAGTGTCTTAAACTTATGGTAATAAACATCTTTTTGTACCTATATTATAAACGTACGTCTATTTTTAATACATTTTTAAAATGTGAGCGATTCTCCATTAATTTATCTACAATATTCTTTAATATTCGTTTAAATCCGACATCAATTAATAAAGTTATTTGCGATTGAAATTCATCGAAAATTTGTGTGGATCGATTATTTTGCCTGTGAGTGTATAATTGCAAATTATTATCACAAAGTATTAAAAATTCTTACACGGGAATGTTAAAGGTACAAAAAGTTACAGTTGTATTTATTGGAATTCCCGTTAGAATTTCTAACTTGGGAATCTACCGGCGTTAAAATCTCAAATTTTTCTGTGTAAATCAAAATTTATTTCTTGAAAATAGCTTAACAATCGACATAGAAGCAGTTTTTCACAGTTAAAGAGAAGAGAATGTTTTATTGGCACTACGCATAATTTTTAACGCTTTATCAGTTAAATCTAGTTAACTTCACTACTACGGCGAAATCAAAAGGTCACTATTAAAGGGAATATAATCTTTTAAAATATTGGCGTCAACTATTTAATACTTTTGTATTGAGATAATAAAATAATTTTCACATTTAGTTTTATTTTACAAGAAAGACACTTTATTTTAAGGATTGTATAACATTTGACAACTGTCAACTTACTTAAAACTAACTTCAGCCCGTAACTAAAGCGCCATAAAGGTGGGAGTAAAAAACAGTATTTTTAATATTTTTTGTACCAAGACTCATTTGACTTATTTTCATTAAAATCTTTTAAACGAAGTTGTTCAGAAAGGTATAATAATAATTATATCGTTATATACGGGTAGAATTTTCAAAAATAAATTATAATTTCAAAATAAGGTACCTACTGAGATAAATCACATCGATATTGGTATACCTATAGGTGATTAACAATAAAACGTTTGTTTTAAACCTGTTTTTATCCGGTTGAAATTCGTAGACAGGTGGTTATTTTTTTACGGGACCACACATCATTAATTGGGCTATTTGATTCGTAGAATTAAAAACTAGATTTATCGCATTTAACTTTGGTAGGTACCTTGCTCTCAGCTATCAACATTAAGTTGTCACGCTAGTCTGGAGCTTTCTTACCATTCGAGTAAAATTCAAGTAAGTAGCTTAAAAATTCTACTAAAATACCATATATTATGCTTTGCAAAAATATTATATGGAAAGAAGCTGTGATTAGGAATTATTCTGATGATGGAGAAAGTAAAAAGTTAAAAAACTTTCTTTTTAAAAAGTATATTAATACTTTAATAACTTAATTCAGCCTTACAAGTTACTAAGTATGTACATTTTATTTTAGTATACTCACATTATATCTAGGTACCTGTTTATTTTTTCTTAATAGCTATTCGCTCCCCCATACCATTAAATATTTAAATTGTGTCTTATATCTTCACATGTTATGTTTCAGATTATTTTATAGAAATAAAAGAAAAAGTTGCTACACGGAGAAAAAAGTTTATTGCTCCCAAATAAAAAAAATATTTAAATATGGGACAAGGGTACAGTTTATTTATCCTAAATATATTTTTATTCCCGACATATAAAGTTTTACTAAAGTATATTTATCGTTATTATTTCGACTATTTAGAGGTAATAAACAATATATTCACTACAAATAAAAGTATTAGGTAAACAGTTTATTTGTCCCATTTTTTTCTCAGTGTATAAAAAGAAGTACGAAAATGGCCGCCGTTTACTTCTACACATCTCCTAACGCGTTTTTTAAGATCTTCTAATGTTTTCGAAAAATCCAGCTTTATTTCTTATGGATTCACAAGCATTACAATCCGCGGCATTAATTCCTCAACGTTATAAATTGTGACTGCATACACCAATGATTTTGAATATTCCCACACACAGAAGTCGAGTGGATTTAAATCTGGAGAACGAGGAGGCCATGGAATTGGCCCTTCTCGTCCTATCCGTCGGGCGGCATAAACTTAAAAAAAAAATGGGGTGGGCGCCATCATACATAAAAAATATCGACAAATCTTAAATGGTAGGACACGTCATCAAGAAGATTTATAAAACGTTTTGGAGAAAATTCAAGTATGTTTCACCGTTGAGTCGATTTGGTAAGAAGTGAGGACTCATCAAGAAATCGCCAATTATTTCTGCCCAAACGTTGATATAAAATCTTTACTGGTGCCTTGATTCAATAAAGGCATGCGAATTTTCATCAGCCCATGCATGACTATTTAATAGTCACTATTAACGAAAATTAATAATTACCCTATTGAATCCGGATTCGTCGGTAAAAATATTTTTTTTAATAAAGAATGGGACTTCATGCCATTTTGTTCTTAACCAGCGGCAGAATTCTAGTCTACTTGAAGGATCTTGATGATTTAAAGCTTGTACTCTCTGTAAATGATTTCCCAAACTGTACTTTTGGAACGTCCTCTTGTATAGCAATTCTGTCCCAGGATTAGCGGCTTTCTACTACTTCCAGGACAGTTTCTTCGTTTTTAACTGTTCGAGTTGTTCAATTTCTCCCGCAATCACCATTGTTTACTTTAAAAGTGTCAGTTTCACACAGTCTTTGATGTTAACTGGTAAACGTCCGTTGACATGGGGGTATACCCGGGAATGTTTCTTGGTACAATCTTCGAGCTTCGCGACTTCTACCATTGGCATTGCCGTACATGAAATACATGTTGGTCATTTCTTGGAAAGTTATTTACCATTTTTGTTAAAAATTACAGTTTGTTCTGATTTATGTTATGACAAACGATTTGACAAATGTCACCACTGACAAAATAACGATATTTGCGAAGCAGGCCAACATTGACACAATCTAAAAGAGTAAAATTAATTGAATTTGTGAAGGAAAACTTAAAATCATGAGGGAAAACAGCACAGTTTCAATAAAATCCAAATCTTCCACCGGAGCTGTATATATGAAGCCTGTGAAAAAAGTACGGTCAAAGGGTGAAATTGAAGAGTTTAAAAAAGAAATTGCCATGGACGATCATATGTTGCCTTTGGATGTGTTGGTTCAAAGGTAAAAGCTTTATTTGTTACTTCAATACAGTAGAGTAATTGATATTTATAGATATAATACTGATACAATGTATGGTCTCCCTAAATCACTTGCTCAGGAACTTCTCATTATAAACGGGCCTAACTGTTTGGTGGCATCAGCAGGAAAATCAAAATACGCCATTTTCTTCGGGCACATTTTTGGCGGCTTCAACGTGCTTCTCTGGATTGGCGGTATTATGACTTTGGTTGGTTATTTCATAGGCTACGCAACCGATAAGGATGAAGCTGAAATCGAGAATATTTATTTAGGTAAGAAGAAACAAGTGCACAAAGGGTCCAAGTGATATAAACAAGGGTGGCCCAACGAGATGTCTTTAAAATGTTCAATACATATTTTAGCCGTCATATTAATAGCAGTTGCATTATTCACTGGAATTTTTGGCTTTTACCAGGAATCAACCAATATCGACATCATGAAGGGTTTTGCCAAGATGGTCCCCAAATATGCTACAGTTATACGCGGTGGTGAAAAAATGGTAATACCCAGTGAAGAACTTGTGATTGGAGACTTGATTGAAATAAAATTTGGTAACGACAAGCAGTTTTAAATCGTTTCTTAGTTTGTTAAAAGTTTACATCATAGGTGACATGGTACCAGCCGATATGAGAATAATATACTCTCAAAATTTGAAAATTGACAACAGTCCCATCACTGGCGAATCTCTGGCAGTGAACCGTAGCCCTGAGTGCACCCATAACAACCCATTGGAGACCATGAACCTGGCGTTTTACACCACTTTGGTAGTCGAAGGTATTTAACATTATATAGCAAATTAATATCTAATCTAATTTTATTTTTAAGGGACTGGTACGGGTATAGTTATCAAAACAGGGGACAACACCGTCATAGGAAGAATAGCCGGTCTAACGTCTTCATTGCAAAAAGACGCGTCTTTGATAAGCAAAGAAATAAGAAAGTTTGTCTGGATCATCTCGAGCCTGGCTTTTATCATCGCCGGAACGTTTTTCATTGCGTCTATGTTAATTGGGTACAACTTCTTTAAAAGTTTCGCGTTCTTCATTGCCATATTGGTAGCTAACGTCCCCGAAGGACTTCCAGTGACTCTAACAGCTTGCCTTACTCTTACTGCAAAAAGAATGGCCAAGAAAAATTGCCTTGTCAAGAAGCTCGAGTGCATTGAGACCTTGGGATCTTGTAATGTTATATGTTCAGGTATCCCGAACCTTGGGTCTCCCAAAATCGGCAACTAAAAACTATACACTGTAACCAAGAACCTTATTTTTAGATAAAACTGGCACCCTCACTCAAAACAAGATGACGGCAGGTCATATGTACTACGACAACCAAGAAGTTAACATCCTAACTGATTTCACTAATGTGAACAAAAACAGTGCGGCCTGTAAGGCTCTATGTAACGTTGGAATGCTATGCAGTATGGCAACATTTTATTATACTGACATGCATTTACCACCGGATGAGAGAAGAACCTATGGCGATGCCAGCGAGTCAGCCATATTAAAAATGATGGAGAAACTTTGGGGTGACGTAGATGCTAAAAGAGAGAATTTTCCAAAGTTCTGCGAGATTCCCTTCAACTCATCCAACAAATATCAAGTATCCATCCACAAGGTTTCAGATACTGACACTTTCTTGTTAGTAATGAAAGGGGCGTCAGAACAGGTTCTGGAGAGATGCACAACGATGCTTTATATGGATGAAGAAGTGGAAATTAACATTCAAATGACAGTCATGATAAAAAAGGCCTTGATGCGTCTAAGCCACATGGGCGAACGTGTTCTGGCCTTTGCTGACCTACAGTTGGATCCTGAAGTCTATGGGGATGAATACAAGTTTAACTCTGAAGTTCCGAATTTCCCTCTATCAGGTTTATCAACATCCAATAATATATAGGTAACATTCTGACTCTCATTTTAGAATTGAGGTTCGTTGGTTTTATATCTCTGATTGATCCTCCCAGGCCGAGTGTTCCTGAAGCAGTGGCCAAGTGTAGACAAGCTGGTATTAAAGTTATAATGGTTACTGGGGATCATCCCATCACTGCGGCGGCCATTGCCAAAAAAGTTGGCATAATATCACCAAGTACGTTTTTATTTTTTGACTTTAATAATTGGTCCAAGCTCTTCAATTCGAGTTTAGTTGCTTGGTGACAAGTTTAGTAAGTGAAGCTGAACTCCTGTACAACCAGGCAATAAACTACATACATTATAACCACAAAGATATAGTTTGGTACAGCTTAACCTAACCTAATATAATTTTAAGCAAACACCACCATATACGACATAGCAATGGGCAGGGACATGTCAGTATCAGCAATCAAACGAGATGGTGTTAGGAGCGATTCCGCAGTTATAACGGGAGCTGAGCTACGAGAAATGGACGATTTCGAATTGGAATTTTATTTGAGAGAGTACCAAGAAATAGTTTTTGCCAGGACGAGTCCACAGCAAAAATTAAAAATAGTGGAAGCCTTTCAAAAGCTTAATTTGACTGTAGCAGTTACTGGAGATGGCGTTAATGATTCCCCAGCTTTAAAAAAAGCTAATATAGGTAAAAACAAATGCCGGCCCAAAAAGGTTTTTGCACGCTTGTATTCCAGGTATCGCTATGGGAATCACAGGTTCGGACGTTTCTAAGGAAGCAGCTGATATGATTTTGCTGGACGATAATTTTTCCTCTATCGTAACCGGTATTGAAGAAGGAAGACTAATATTTGATAATTTAAAAAAAAGCGTAGCTTTCGTACTGACTTCCAATGTTCCAGAAATTGTTCCTTTTGTTTTGTTGGTAACATTGAATATACCTACGCCCTTGAGTATCATGGCAGTCTTGGTCATAGATGTAGGTAAGTCAAAGTCCACAAAATAAAGAAAGCACAAGGGGGATTCAGCGTCGTACCTAGACCGATGGGGCCAGCTATTTATAATAAACTTTTAATTTAAATTGATCATATTTTCTTAGGTACGGATCTGTTCCCTGCGATAAGCTTGGCGTACGAAAAAGCTGAGGCAGACATTATGATCAAGCCACCCAGAGATCCTAACAGGGACAGCTTGATAAATTGCAAATTGATTTACTACGCTTACTTTCAAATCGGTTTGATACAAGCCATAGCCAGTATGACGTGTTATTTTATTCTTCTGGCAGGCCATGGATTTTTCATACACACCAATTTAATAGGTAGGTTTGTGTATAAAAATGGGGGTTGGAAATTTGTTGCGGTCGAATGTCTTTTTTGTCTTTTAAAAGTTGTTAGACAAAAATTACCAATTACGATTACCTTGCAAGCTGTAGAGGCTTTGGCTTCTTGCTATAGCACGTATACGTAAACTCGATTCACAAGTGTTTATTCGTAATTAGTTGATATTTAAGAACGTGCTTTATCTGAATCTTATTTAAATGGCAAAGGAAGTAGAACGGTGAATAGAAAAAATTGGTATTTGCTAATTTGGTCTATATGAAATTGCGATTTCAGCAATATGCTCATTTATACCTTTTGGGCAGATAGTTTTGAGATATTAATTAATAAAAGTGGAAAATTGAGAGTTTTTAATAATGTTTTGATGTTTTATAGATGTTATTAAAAGACTTTTTAATTCGGTTTTGATAAAATTAAAAAGTGTTTATAGAAGAAATGTTCATAAACTCTCTCAAAATATTTTATTTCAAGGTCAACATTTTTCAGTTTATTATTGTTTTTTGTTATTCTACAAATAGCAAGTGTCAATATATGGAAGTTTTTTATTTTATATTTTTTTGTTAGCATATAATTTAAAACAAATATTCACTACTGGATGTAAAAACTTTTAGTTGAGCGTTATGTCTGTTTTTTAAGCGTTCTCCAAAATTTAAATATGGGCCATTTAACGGAAACACAGAGAATTGAGGTTTTAATTCTCAAAGGATTTGACAATAAAACTAGAACACAAGAATAAGTTTGCAATTTATTTAATGCAAAGTATCCAGCTCGACCTATATCTAAATAGCACACTTTCCTCGTAAAATACTTTTTTCGGACGAAGCTACCTTCTGTTTGAATGGTACAGTCAGCCGTCAAAATTGTAGGTACTGGAGCAGAGAAAATCCTCATTGGGTAGTAGAGACAAATTCTCAATACAGGCAAAAAAGTGAATGTCTGGGCAGAAATGGTGGAAAATCGGATCATAGCTCCTCTTTGATGAAAATATGACAGGACAAACGTAACACATTAGCAGAAATGTTTCGCAATGAGATTGGAGGTCCCGATCTACCAAGTTCTACACTGAGAGAACAGTTTATTAACAATTAACTAGATTTATCAATAACTAATAAATGCTTTATTCGATTATGGCGGAATAAACATTTATTTAGGACAAACAACGCATTGATTAAAATTGTTTAATAAATCTTTTTATTAAAAAATAAAGAAAAATTTATAATAAATATGTTTTATTGTTAATAAATAAATGCTTGTTTATAATAAATAAAGATTAATTTATAATAAATGTGTTCTATTTGTGATAAATAAATGCTTGTTTATAATAAATACTAAAATATTTGGAAGACATAAAACTTTATTTGTAAACCCTATACTTTAATTCACTATAAATGTATCCAGCAAGTCGTTGAATCCATTGCTTCCTAAAAATTTGCATAGCTCGTCCATGGTTTGCAGATCTTCCATACAAGTTTGGATTTTTTAATAATCGCAGATACACTAGCCGGCACACAGGAAAGAGCCGGTATTTTACACTGGCACTATAGGTACAATTTAAATTAATGCTATTACAAAAAGATTGCAAACGAAACACTGATGCATAGATACAAAATAAATACAAAATAAATAACAGTGCAAAGAACAGAATCACTAAACTTAACACTACACAGAACAGAATCAGTAAACTTGGCAAGGCAAGTGGTACACCATACGCACGCGGTACACCAAGCACTATTCGAGAAACGTTATACTGTTTTGTTGCGTTTTGACAGAAGTTTGAGTACAGTAAACAAGAAATAAATATTTATTCATTGTTAATATTGATTCCTACCTAAAAATAAATTCGAAATTTATAATAAATAACTTTTAAAGATCGCCTAAGCAAATAGGTATTTATTATTCCCAAATTTGCATTATTAATAATAAACATATGGGCAACAAACAAAGTATTTGTTTCTGATAGATAAAATATATTAAGCAGATTATTAATCGTTAAAAAGGTGGATTAACAATAAATTTACTTTATTTATTGTAAATAAATGCTATCCAAATAAAGATTTGTTAACTATAAACTACACTTTTTCTCTCAGTGTACCATTTGGTTTCAACAGGACGGGACACCTCCACACTATGCGCATCCTGTCTGTACTTTTTTGGACACATGTTTCACACCCCTCTCGATTATTTCTTATACCTTAAATCAAAGGTCTACATCAACAGACTACAAAATTTAGAAGACTTGAAAAATCAAATTCAAACTATCATCCCAAAAGGTATACATGTGCATATTACTGAATTCACAATGTCATAATCTATTCGAATCTGCAAAAAAAGTGGGGTTACAATTTAAAAAAACGGCTGATGACGTCATAGCTTCTACAAAAATGGCGGCAAATATAAAAATTATTATTTTTCAGGAATAAGAAAGGAATGGGAATCCAAAAACAACAACGACTTGCAGGATGCTTGGGGTGAAGAGTGGACGTATCGTGATCGCGAACTCCTCACAAGGCAATGTGTGGCAGTGTATTTCATAGCCTTAGTGATGACCCAAATCACTGACTTGTTGGCATGCAAAACACGCCGCCTTTCTTATTTCCAACACAAATTCAACAAGGTACTTCTTATTATAAATATTCCCCAATACCAAAACAAAACTAGTACTTTTCGCCAACGATGTTGGCATCTTCAGAAGCGAAGTGTAACTGAGTTACACTTTGCCATTATTTGTTTAACAAATCACCAAAGTTGTTCTTTTTCAAGGTACTTCTAATGGCGATCATTTTCGAAGTGTTAGTAGCAGCCCTTGTCGTTTATACCCCTTATGTAAGGGACGTTTTCCAGTTTGAACCCTTCGAGTTTTTGTGCGCCGTCCCTGCCATACCGTTTGCCCTTTTCATTTTTATGTATGACGAGTTTAGAAAGTACTGTATAAGAAGCAAACCTGGTGGGTTTATGTATAGGGAGACGTATTATTAGTCTGTAGTTAATAAAATATTAAATGTTATTTGTTTTCTTTTTAAACCTAAATGCAGACAGAAACTGGCCGCAGGGAACTTGTGATTTAACTACTCTGACTTTTTTTAAAACAAATTACATTTTTGATACACACTTGTAGGTGCGTATTACAAGCCATGAAAAGCTTCTCCATGTAATTACTTAATTTATTAGTGTGCGATTAAAGGTTAATGGCGGCCATAAGATGCACTAATAAGAAGCTTATGACAGTTGGTACGAGGTAATTGGAGTTTAGTTTTTTCTAATGACACGTTTCAGCACTGGTTTTCATGTGAATCAAGTTTTTGCCGTCCTTTTTGAATAATCGACACTAATTTTATGCTACCGACATGTGACGGTGTGAAAACGCTTTCTGGCCTGTCAGGTTTACTGTCATAATAGTATTTTATCTTCACAATATGCTTCGAAGCATACGTAAATTTTTAACAGTTCATATTCTTTACTTGCTTTAAAATCAGACAACTAAATCATATTTATGACCCCGAATAGCAGACGTCAAAACCAGACATAAAATATTCAAGTAATTCCTCTAAGGACGTTTATATATGTAGTTTGAGTAAAAGTTTTTCCATTTTTCACTTCACCTTTTCATCCTTTATTTTCTATTATATTGTGTAGGGTAAATCATAGCTATAAGTTAAAAATAGTTAGATACCGAGTGAAACTGATGACGAAATTTTCGTGTAAAACTAATAAAAAATCATTTAATACAATTTCAGTAATCGATAGTCATAGGTTCAGTCTGGATTAATCTAAATTTAAATAGCCTCCATATGACGAATTGTACAATTTGTGCCAGACTTAATAACAGTATTATACTATAATGGTGCACAATTTTTAAAATAAATTTACAAAACTCCTACGACTTTTAAATGCGTCTGTTTAAATCAATCCTAATTGTAAAATTATTGCGCGTAGGACAGCACTGCATTCGAATATTGTTTTATACTTCCGACAATGAAAAATTGGGTCTTAGGCACCTCACTAAATTTGAGCTTTTAATATTATTATCACAGTTTTTAATTTTTTCTTTAGTCCCTTATTAATCAATCGTTTAATCAAATATTTATACATATTTTTGTAGAAAATTGAATGCTCTAAAAAAAGGACTGATGTGTTTAAGCGATTACTGTAACCATTTAAGAGATATTCAAGATCAAAGTTTAAAGAATTTATAAAAAAAAAAATTATATTTTTTTATAATTAAAAATTAATTATTGTCAAATACTCAATTAAACACTAGACCTTCTTTGTAGAGCGTTAAATTTCCTACAACAATATGCCAAACTCATTTGACAATAATTATTTTTCAATGAGATACAGAATTATAAAAAAAATTGCATTGCTCGTTTTTAGACACCCTGTATGTTATTAGACAAACTTAATAATTCTCTGCTAAGATGCTTAACATTAACAAATCGTAAAATAATTTTCACACTGGGATACATCGTATACATAATATGTTTTTATGCACATACAAATTATGTATGTGCATAAAAACTGTGGAACTTTGTTATGGTATTATTGGTATTGCTAGTGATTGCTTATACACTTTACAGCACTTTGCTATTTGCGTTCAGTTTATTACCCTGTGAAAAATAAACATAGATCTTAAAAAAAGATTTTGTTTAAAAAACTTCATTCTACAAAATAAAAAAAGTTATAAGAAGAGAAATTATAAGCGAATAATGAAAAATTTGGTGCCACAAGGCTCCCTATTTGAACCTTTATTATTTATAATGTTTATGGTTGACTTTTATAGCATTGTCACATGGAACAAATTCATTAAAAAATTCCAAATACGTTTGTTCTGTCATACACGGAAAAAAAGATATTCTATATTAAAGATTAATCATCTCAGTTCAAGTATATGTTTATCTCACCATTCCGCAAGTATAGATACTTTTTATTTAAGGATTGATTTATTTTTATTTGTAAATTAAATTAATACTTATTTAAAGAATATAGGGAGTTGAATGCATGAACTAACCTATACTTATTTGAATATAATTTCAATGTTAGGTGCAAGGGTGAACTTATTCTTATTTCAAGAATAAGTATTTTTGATCCAAATGTTATAGTTCTTGGCGATACAATATTTACTTTTGGATTAAA